GTGTTCCGATTTCCATGTGGGCTGTGTGCCCTGGGGGCTGTCCTTACCCTCTCTGTGCTTGGAGGTGGTGTAGAGGACTGGGCGGGTTCAAGACTCAGCACATGGAACTGCGAAGGCGTGAGCTGTCGTGGGCACCGCCATCCATGTTCATGCTGGGGGTGGACCGTGGGCCCCTGCTTCCCCCAACCCCTTTGCCAGTGCCCAGAGTCTCCTCTGACTCACATTTTTCTCGGGAAAAGTCCCTTGTGACTGCCAGGCCTCCATCGGAGACCTCAGTGGCCAGACTGTGAGCCCCGCCCCCACCCTGACTCACACTCCAGCCGGAAGTGGTGTCTGCCCTGCCCTCTGGGCCCTGGGGCCAGGACAGGGGTCCTGGATGTGAGGCTCTGCTGTCCTGCCCTTGAGTGTGTCGTACCCTGGGGCTGGTTCCTCAAAGGCGTCTTCCCTGGCTCTCCGGCCTGATGTGCGGGGGCAGGTGGCCAGGGGAGGACACGGGGCCTGTCGGCCCGTCCTGGTCAGAGTCACAGGCGACAGCCATTAGCAAGGTCCTATGAGACGCCGCTGCCTGACACCCATCCTGTGAAGTTGCTCCTCTACCTACCTTCCCCCACCCACTGCGTTTTCCCAGAGTGGAAACTGAGGCGCAAGTTTCGCACTACAGCTGGTAATAAGGGATCAGAATACCCCAGATATCTGACTCCAGCAAGGAGTCATCCAGCCCACTCCGCTGGCAGGAAAACAGGGGCAGAGGGAAGAGCCTTTCCAAAGTTGTTTTCTCTTAGTACACAGTGTCCCTTGGCCAAAGGATGCTCTGGTTGTGGTCCTGTTTTTGTTTTTGTTTTCATGCCCTGAGACAGGGTCTTGCTCTATACCCAGGCTGGCCTCAATCTCACAGTGATTCTCTTGCCTCAGTCTGCTCATTACTGGGACCATCACACCACACTCATGGTCACAGCGCTTCAGGGACCCCCGCCTCACCCAGCTGGTGCCTGTAGTGGAGGAAGTGGGGTAGGCAGGGTGGGAGGAGCTGGGGAGGCCCTCGGTGAATCAGAGCCTGGAGTCCCCAGAGCGGGAGGAAGAAGCCGGCTGTCTCCGCTCTGGAGCAGAGGGTGGACATGTTCACGAGCACCCAGTCTCAGCCATGCACCCCAGTGTGGGCGTGTGGAGCTCATCCCACAAGAAAGAGCCAATCTCCTACCTTGGCCATCTTGGCCTTGTTGGAAGCCAGGACTTCTGGGAACCACTGGGTCGTCGTCCCCAGCCTGTAGGTAACCCTCTGGGTGTGCAGGTGCGGAGGCGGGAGGTGGTTGTGGAGACGCAGGCCAGGTGGGGCTGCCAGCCAGGACCAGAGTCCCTTGTACCGCAGGACCTGCTGCAGCTTGGACACCTGGTGACAGGAGCTCCCCCTCCTGAGAAGCTTCTCTGGTGTCAGGGGTGACTTGGAGCACAGTTCTGCCCACTGGAGAAATCCACTCCGGTCTCAGTTTGTCGCCTGTTAGTGGCCTGAGCACAGGGACTCTGACCTCTCCCTGGGGCTGCTGCCCTGCCAGCCCAGCAGGCCCAGCTCCTGGCGGAAGACCTACAGCCCTCATCTCCAGCATGCTGTCATATGTGCTTGGCAAACAAAGCCCATCTCCGTGCCAGCTGGGATGGGTCGTGTGCAGCGCTGCGTTGGCAGGGGCTGGGAAGGAGTCTGAGATCAATTAGCAATGTCTGCTGGGGGCAGCATGAGAAGTTGGGGTGGGCACAGGCTCTGGTCTGTGTCCCCACCAGACTCTGGGACGAAGACTGTGTTCTGCTGTGATCTGACAACTGTTGCAGGTGGCAGGGCTATTTTTACCTCTGGATTTTATTCCATTTAGCGACGGGCTCTTCAACTGCATCGAGATTTCAGCTTGCATTAAGCTTATAGCCAACCAAAAAAAAAAAAAAAAAAAACTCCAAGTCTCTTTCCTGTGAACAGCTGTCAAACCAGAGTTTCCACCATGCTGATGTCTCTTCCATCATTAGATACAGAACTGATTCACGTCGGTCCTTTGTTGATGGGCTTTTAGATTATTTCCACACTTTCATAATGGGAGACCATACTCCTGCGAAAATCCTGATATTGACCTCTTTGGACACTGGTCTGATTTCTTGGTGCAGATCTCTGGGAACAGGATGCTGAACCCAGGCATCTTCTGAGAAGTGGGCAGCAGCCACCTGACTGTTGGAGAGCATTCTAGGAGCTCTGAACTGTCAGGAAACCCGAGAGGACCTGAGCACATGTCCCACCCCATTCCCAGATATGAAAGCCCCACCCTAAGTCCAACTGCTCTCTGTCTTACCCTGGGTTGTGTGACATGTGACTGTTATCCTTTCCCCAGCAAGAAACTTTGGGAGAGCTGAGATCAAATCAGGAAGGAGACAGAGGCTGAGAGTCTGGAGCCCCAGGCTGTTGCCATCAGAAAAAACAGCTTCCAGGCCAAGCGTGGTGGCGCATGCCTGTAATCCCAGCACTCAGGAGGCTGAGGCAGGAGAATCGCTGTGAGTTCGAGACCAGCCTGGGCTACATAGGGAGACCCTGTCTCAAAAAAGAAAAAACAGCTTCCTCAAAGGAGTCAGAGTGTCTCCTGGAGCTTGGTTTGATGACTTGCTAACCCGTACTCTGTCGCAGGTGTGCCGGTTTAGGCTTCTTCCCGCAGTCTGAGTGTACCTGTTGCTGTGTGGACTTGGGGACATGGGGCATTTTCACTTTAACATGGTATTTTAAGGCCGAGGAGAAGGGTCACAAATTCCATGCATCCTGGGCACCATAGCCCGACCCTATCTCAAAACACAAAGGAGTCACAGGATCACAGAAGCCCAGCCCAGGCAACAAGAGACCCTGTCTCAAACGATTGGAAACAAACAAACAAACAAAAAAGGAACTAGGGATGTACTGTGGTGTGAGGACCTTGGATTCAATTCCCAGTATTGCAGAAGCAAATGAACCAATAAAAACTTGAAAAGGGTGGGGATGTGACTCAGTGTGAAGGCTCTGGTTCAACCCTCTGTGCTGTAAAACTAAATTATAAAATTGAAAAGGCCTGGGGATGTGGTTCGGTGTGAAGGCTCTGGGTTGCCTGCCTCTCTGTCCTCAGCCCCTCCCCGCAGGGCCCTCTGCCCACGGCTACTGAAGGGCTCCTGGGTCCCGCTGCAGGGACTGCAGGGAGGCTAACGCGGCACTGGGACGCTGTCTCATGCTCTCTTACTCCCACGCTGGCTGCCTGCTCCCACCCGGGACTTGGTCCATCTGCTGCGGTCTGCACGGGCACACACTCCTTCATGCAGCAGCTGCTGCTGTGGCCGCTCCAGCACCGTGGAGCTCAGACCTCTCTGAGCTCACAGGGCTGCTGTTGGGACTCAGGGAGGCGCCGGTGCCTTTTGTGACATGGGTGGACTTCGGGGACTTGTGGAAGACATCCGTGGCACTAGTACTGCAGGAAGGGAAACTGAGGCCTGGAAATGAGAGGTGACGCACCACAAATCACTACCAGAAGGGGAGCCGGGCAACAGCCCCATCCTCAGGGAAGAGCCTGCAGCCGTCCCTGCTGCCTGTGTCCAGACCTCGGCCCTCTGTTCCAGGGCTCCCTCCTCGAGCCTCCCCCTGGTTTCTCTCCCAAGTGTCCTCCTTCCCGGGAGTTCACACTCGGCAGCACGGCAGCCGGGCAGGGCAGGCCCTGAGGAGTCGTAGGGATGGAAGTGGAGCCAGGCAGGGGCGGCTGTTGGCAGAAGCCATCGAGTGCCAGGCGTCCCACTGGCTACAGAGGGGGCCTTGGGACAGGACCGAGGGGGGGGGCTGCGCCATCTCCTTCCTCCACTGTTACCTCCGGTGGGACCTCAGTCCACTCAGGGACCAGGGGATCTTTAAAGTCCCAGCCCAATGCCCAGTCATAGGGACAGGGGGCCTGGCAGGGAGACAAGAAATGGTGTCAGGATCTTGTCGCTGAAAGTCTCCTTTCTGTCCTCACCCTGTGCTGAAAAGTAACTGGCAACGGAAACTGACATCTGCACAGGAGAGAAGTCTTCCAGGTTCCGGGCTCGGGATGAGTCAGCCCCCAGCACTTGGCCCCTCTCCTCCTTGGATGTCCTTGTGGTGGGGACAGGAGGCAGCAGGGCAGAGGGAAACGTCGGGTCTCGGGCTTCACCCACTGGGGCCTCAGCCCAGACTCCTCTGTGAGTAGCCTGTGTGCTCCTGGGCGGTGCCGCTGGGCCTCTGTCTCCTGTCCTGTGCGGCAAGAGTTCACCGTCCCTCTTCCGCAGGCCGGTTTGCATCTTTAGAGAAAACGTCGGTGCACTGTGCTCAGTTCCAGGCCTGCCATAGCAGAGACCCCACTGAGCGCTTGGACAAACACGTTTATTACCTCCAATGCTCACCAGCACGGTGGCAGCGGTCTGTACGCACCTCCCACTCTTCCTCCCGCAGGACTGAGATCGAGGTGTGCGCTTGTCTGCTTTGTTGGGAGGATCTCCCTGTAGTTCACTGCCTTCCCTCTATGGGTGTCCACGATTGGAAAGACTTCCCATGGCAGAGACCCTCTCTGTGAGCAGTTTCTGCAGATACTCAGTGGCACGTTTAAGCTGGGCAGTGGGGAGAAGGCAGCACGATCTACTCCCTCAGTCAGTACTGAGCACCGCCGACGTGTTCCAGGCTCTGCTGCAGGTGCTGAGGGTCACCAGCAGCCAGTGGGCCTCTACTGCGGTTAGTGGGAGGTGACGGCTTGAACTGGAGACCGGCAAAGGGAAAGCTGACTGACGGGGCAGATGTTAGAGGGCGGTGAGCTTTACGGAGCCAACTCGGTCTGAGTGTGTCCCGGAGTAGAGGGGCTCTGCACCGTCCTTCTGGGTTTGTGGAGTACTCAGTTGTGGGGTGAGGGAGGAAGCGGAGAGAACGCGAGCTACAGGCTCCTCCCAGCTCGGCGTGCCCCAGGCTCAGGCTTCCCACTCACCTGAAGCTTCTCCCTCTTTCTCCTCTGCAGCGTGGAGGGCGAGGGCCCTGGCAGCGAGACCACCACGTCCCTGGACAGCCCCTCAGCCTACCACCAGGGTCCCTTGGTGTCCGCCTCCAGCCTGAGCCCCGACCACTACGAGCACACATCCCTGGGTGCCTATGGGCTGTACTCGGGGCCTCCGGGGCAGCAGCGTGCACGGAGGCCCAAACTGCAGCACTCAACCTCCATCCTGCGCAAGCAGGCGGAGGAGGACGCTATCAAGCGCTCACGCTCGCTCTCCGAGAGCTATGAGCTCTCCTCGGACCTGCAAGACAAGCAGGTGAGTGGGGCACAGCGGGGGTGGGCTGGGTGCTCGCTTCCTGGCAGCAGAGGTGTGGCTCGTGATGGGCTCCAGCTCAGGGCGAACTTGCTGGCGTCTGGTCCTACGTCTCCGAGAGCTCTGGGCCCAGCCGGGTCCCGGCTGCAATGCTTGAAGGGGTCAGAGAAGGCACTAGGCTCTTGGCCGTCCCTCCTGGGCACTCAGGTGGAATCCTCTGTGAGCGGCACCTTTATGTTGTCCCTTGTGCTTGGGACCTGGGCCCAGCACCCCCAGGACGCACAGGTCACGTGGCAGGACAGTCCCCTTTGCATTTGTCCCCTCTGCCGAGGTCTAGAGGGGCTCACAGAGAGCTCGTTTAAAGACATTGGCAGCAGAACTGAGGAAATAGAAATGGGAGAGGTTCCGACCTCATGCAGGCTGTGGGGTAGTTACACTCTGAGGATGGGCCTGCCGAAGCTGCCACTGTCCCCCCCCCGCCGCACATGTGCTAGCTGGAGCCCACCATCACTGGGCACTGGGCTGTGTGGGAAGCAGACGGTGCACTGCCGAGACTGCCACTTGTGTGCACGCTGAGTGCGGTACGGGAGGTGGGTTGTGAGCAGGTTAGCAGTCTGAGGATGGTCCAGTTCCAGAGCTTCTTGCAGACTGGAGGGAAGATGCAATCTCAGAGGGAAACGGAGTGGGCCTGCGTGGTGGCAGCAGGCAAGGGTGGTTGGCGTGAGGACTGGGCATTCTGGGAAGAGGTGACCTCAGGTGCACAGGCCCTGAGGCAAGGACAACACAGAGGCAAGAGGTGATACTGGCAGCTGTGCAGCACTCTGTGCTCTGCTGAGCTTCCCAGAAAAGAAGGCAGAAGTGGGAATAGGGCACATAGGAGGAATTGCCTGTGAAGGTGGGGTTACCTTCTACCAGGGGTTAAGGTCTACAGACACAAAAGTCCCACTGTAGTGAAGTGGGCATCTGGTGGGAAGTCAGGTGCCTTCTCCAGACCCTGGCCGGGCAGAGATGCCAGCTCCTGACCTTGGCCTTCCTTTGATCCTCACAGACTGGACTGCAGCCGCAGGGCTGTGTCTTTCTTGCTCAGGAGCAAGGCACAGCGGCAGCCCTCAGGCTGTCCTGGGTGACAGGTGGGCCCACGACAGGCCCTGGGCGTCCACACTGCTGGTTGCACAAACACAGCCACCAAGGCAGGTGTTGGGATCCATGGTGCCTGCAGGCCTGAATGTCACAGGGTCTCTTCTCCAGTTTGCCCATCTCTGCAGCCTCAAACACCTTCCAGGGCCACCCCTGTGCTGACTGCCTGGTTTCTGTCTTAGCAAGGGCTTGCCAGAGTCCCTGGGGGTGGGGTGACCCTGAGCAGCCCCATTCTGCAGATGAGGAAACTGAGGTCCTCTGAGTTTGGAGCTCCTACCCGGGCCCATCTGAGGTGAAACCAGGTATTCACTGACCTTGCGCCCCTTACCCTTCAGCCTCCGGGCATGCTGGGAGCTCTGGTGGGCATCTAAACCCGCCTGTGCCTCAGGTTCCTGTTTCCGGAGGTGCTGGCTTCAGCTCTTCCAGCTTCTCCAGAAGCGTTTTCATAACTCTGCAAGCCACAAAGTGTGCCAGGGCAGACGCTCCAGTGACAAAAGACATTTGGAATGCTCAGCACGCTATATCCCCCTGCTGTTTTCTTTTCTTTTTTCCCAGTACTGGAGATTGAACCCAGGACCTTTACCTAGAGCTACATCCCCAGCCCCTTTCTAAAACTTTTAAGTTTGAGACAGACTCATTAAGTTGCCCAAGCTTGAACTTCCACTCCTCCTGCCTCAGCCTCCCAGAGTGCTGGGATTATAGGCATGCACCACAGCTCACTTCACCTTACCCCAATACTTCTCCATCTTACTTGACTTTGGCACCTGTGTTTCACGCCGATGCCCACCCCCAGCAGCTGCCAGCCCATCTTTCAGCTAATTCGGGCCACACAGAGACAGCTCCAGGTTGCACCTGCACAGGTTGAGGAAGGAAGTAGGTTTCGTGCAGGCCAGCACCCAGGTGCCTTCACTCTCCTCTCCTTCCCACCAGGTGGAGATGCTAGAACGCAAGTATGGGGGGCGCCTCGTGACCCGCCATGCGGCGCGCACTATCCAGACGGCCTTCCGCCAGTACCAGATGAACAAGAACTTCGAGCGCCTGCGCAGCTCCATGTCGGAGAACCGCATGTCTCGCCGGATTGTGCTGTCCAACATGAGGATGCAGTTCTCCTTCGAGGGGCCCGAGAAGGTGCACAGCTCCTACTTCGAGGGCAAGCAGGTCTCAGTGACCAACGACGGCTCCCAGCTGGGCAGCCTGGTGCCCTCCGAATGCGGGGATTTGGGCGAGCCGGCCACCCTCAAGTCCCCGGCCGCCTCGAGCGACTTTGCGGATGCCATCACGGAGCTAGAGGACGCCTTCTCCCGGCAGGTGAAGTCGCTGGCCGAGTCCATCGACGATGCCCTTAACTGCCGCAGCCTGCACACGGAGGAGGTGCCGGCCCCGGACATCGCACGGACCCAGGATGCTGAGCCCAAGCCGGCCCTGCATAGCATGGACCACCGCAAGCTGGACGAGATGACGGCCTCCTACAGCGACGTCACCCTGTACATCGACGAGGAGGAGCTCTCACCCCCTCTGCCCCTCGCGCAGGTCGGGGACCGGCCATCCAGCACGGAGTCGGACCTGAGGCTGCGGGCTGGGGTCGCCGCTCAGGACTACTGGGCCCTGGCCCACAAGGACAACAAGGCCGACTCGGACACCAGCTGCCGCAGCACGCCATCCCTGGAGCGG